CAACCGGCAGGTCCAATACAATAACTGTCAACAATTCGGAGTTCCCTGATGATACCCTCATACCCAGTTTTGTTTTAACCTCATCTGGCCTTCTTTCACTTACAACCTGCCTCGGTAAACATGGTATTCCGAGGGAATGCATCTGATGATATGCACAAAACGTGCCTCAGCCATCTTACTGGATGGACTTGGAAGTACTTGCTCCAGTGCGTGACTGAGATTACTTAAAACGCCACCTAAGATCACCACTTCTGCAGTTGTATCATTAAAGTCAATCAGTGCGGCGTAGACAGCCGCGTTCGAACACCAACAGCCTACCATTACCCTGTTCTTGCAACAACTGTCTTTTCGCCATCAGCTAAATACACAGCATTCTAATTGCTGATAAATGAAAACCCAGGTACACCCTGTGTACAGACTGGTGTAAATTTATCAATAACCCATATCATTTGCTCCATCCGTTTGAACATAATACCAACTGACTGGCAAATGTAAACTGTTGTGTTCGGATCGTACACCGACGTAACTGGGATGCAAACAATAAACGTGCGCAAAGCGACCTATCTGTTTCCACTGTAGCAGGCAAACCGAAAAAACAGCTCTCTATCTGACCGTCTGAAAGTTATCATTTAGAACCGTTACCGGACTGAGACAGAAAACACGTTAGAACAGAACGGACAAAGTAAAAACCTACCTTATCCACTAAACAAGGTAAATTGAGCGAGTTTGTGGCAAATCCCATGCTGAAAACAATGGCTGCTTCTGTACCAACAAACTCGGCAACCAAATCTTCTAATTCCCGATGCAGGATTAGGCTACCAGCCTCCTGACGCGAGCTGGCCACACCGACACCGAATCGATAGGTCATTTGTTCGTTGGCTGTAATCGATGGTCCCTTCGAATCACCGAATCCCAAATAGTTATAAGAACCCAGATTGAGCACCCGAGTTTTGGTACCTGTGAATCTGTTGATTAAACGCAAAAAGAGAAAATCCGGAAGATCAGCGTGGTGTGTTCATACTAGGCCGATAATGTGAACAATAGGTTATTGTTGAATCTAGGCGCAGCGGTAATATGAACTAGTGAGGAAATTGTTCACGCTGAATTTTACGGGACTGAGATATCATTAAAGAACATGAGAAGATCGCATTAGGAGATAGTTGCGAAAATTCGTCGGAAAATCTGATCCTTCAGAGGAAAAACATTCGCAGATTTGACAGCTATGGAATGAACCGAGATTTGAACCCGTTGAGTGCTGCCGTCTTTGAAAAATGATGAAAATTAGATGCCGCTGCAACGAATGTCTCACCGATTCCAAAGGAGCCACATTTTATTCATCCCGACTACTTTAGTTATTGGTTCCGGTAATTACCCGATAGATTCACGTGACTATAGAGGCTTAGATTACTGACCACGCGAAATGCCATATTTCTTAATAACAAGACGGCATTAGTTCGAAAACTGCTACGTTTATCGAGAATTTTTTGTTTACGCTGAGCATTGCGCTGTTTACCTACGTATGGACTGCAAATTCCACGAAAACAACAAACAAGTGTCTCCTACAGGTCGGAATACTAGTATGTGCAAATGAGAATTGTTAACCCCTTACAAAACATGCTCCATTTCTGCTGCTACTGAACATTGTGGGCGACCAGATGCATTGAATTTTCTCTCTATCAACCAAACGGGCATCACATGTGCTCAATGGTTCATTGCAATACAATGGCAAATCTAATTATCACCACCAGCTAGACGCAATTACAATCACGATACCCATGGTGGAAAATCAGTCCCGGTTGTTTCATCTTTGATCTTAAATGAACCCGTTGACTCATACCCGTCAGATAAAAGTTGTTACCGTTGAGTAAATTGAATAACTACTGATGGCTGATTCATGATTTGCACAAGCGAAAACGTGGGAATCGACGATTCAAGGTTTTAGACTTAAAGAAGTGAACTACATGGTGCCTCAAGAGGATCGATAAAGCATTACCATCGGAGTTGAATGACGGTGATAGTGTTCAAACTTCGGACTTTAGGGTCTGGAGTACGTTAGTGGTAATGACTTAAACTGTAAGACCGCGACCGCGGATAGTATTAAACCTACAGTACTCCTAAATGAATGTTACAACCAATCGAGATCAATACCGACTCAGATATAGAAATTGTCCTACGGATTTCGGTTGACTCTAGGATAAAAGCTGATTCATGAGCCCATATGTATCGCTGACATTTGAGCTTTTGGTCAAATTAGACTAAATAAAAGCTATGGGTATGGTTTGGTAGATCACCTGGTACATATACTGTACTAAAAGTGTCGGCGATGTCCATTGCTCGGAATCCCATTGAGGTTATTGAGCTTTGCAAAATGCAGACATGATGGATCGCTTTGATCAAACACTAAAACAATGAACGGTGTTTCACACCGCATCACTGAGGACAATTATTCGGTATTGGTATCAGAAGGAACATTGCACTTGTTGCATTAAAATGAACGAAAGGTGTAAAGCTAACTATTTACTTCGGAATTAAAAACTAGTGAGATAAAAAGTAAGCCTTGATACATTTTAGCAGTTAGAAAGACAGATGTGAGCGTACCAAATGCATGAAACCACTGCTTCTGAGTAAGCGATTGCTATTTGGGGGATAACTCTGCCAAGGCAGTGTTAAAAGTCCTGTCACATTTGCGTGTAACTGATGTGCTCTCAAACGATATCGACTGTTATTGTTTGCTGTATTGTACCATTCGAAATGTAGCGAGATCTGCTTCGGATAAATCGTGCAACTTGGCTCTGCTATCTTCTGTCTGATCAATTTTATCTCGGGGAATAAAAATTTCAAATGATTTTTTCTCGTTGACCATCAATCAGGTACCCATTGTTTACTCTGATAACCTTGAGCAATGGATTGCCTGGCTGGAGCATGCACATTCTTTTTTCGCCTGCATTGACTGCAAAAAGATGGGATAAATCTGTATTCGGTTGGGAAAACTTGGCTTTATGCCCGGAAATAAAATATCTCTTAGTGGTATGTNATATTCCTGTTGTCAGCTCGAAACTCCGAAATCATACAGATCAACAAGACCAAAGGGTGTAAAGTTAGGAAAAGAAATGACGTATGGCTTGCATTTCAAAGAACACGGAAAACTGCCGATATTGTCCAGAATTAGGGTGAACAGGTGCACTGGAATTCTGAAATAGAACCGCGGAAACGATGTTTTTTTCTGAAATACATTAATAGAGTGAGGCTACTAAGGGTGGTGTAACTTCATCGCGACCGTACAAAACATCTCAGTCCACATCATTATTAACAACTGATGATAAGAAAATTATTTTCACGAAGCATTTGACTTGAACAAAGTAGCTTTCATAAGAATTCACAGGAGAAAAGAACTAGGTTGGTTTAATTGTGCTTGAGGGGGGGGGGTATGAAACCCCAGTTGACCGATTACAAACAATGGAAAGAAACAAACAGGGAATCAAGCAACTTACTCAAGCGTCCATCCAAAATCCGGTGAATATCGATCCAGTAAAACTATTTCAACACCCGGTGGCGAGCAGATAGGCCGATTCCAACAATCTTGAACACGACGATAAAGATTTCTAGTGTAAAACGCTTCATAGGATGAATAAAGAGGGACAAATGATCGCGTTTTCTCTGGTTCGCCACTAATCGGACAGTGAAGAACGGAACACCACCGCAAAAAATCTTGGAAGCGGCCCAAAATATTTAAAAATAGATAGCCAATATAAGTAAACACAGCTGTCCTCAGAGGCGTCTCTCCAAATCGTTCGAATAAGGGCTCTCCGGAAGCGGGGCCTTGATATGTTCGAGGCATTTTGTCTTTGGTTGCGATTCTGAAGCCTACACACTTGAAAGGACTAATTATAGCGCTGCTAATAGAGTATTCATCACAGCTGGCTGATTACGCCTGAAAGGAAAAAGGTTATGTATAAAATATGCATCTGAAGCTTAAAAAATTATGCACTGCATCACAAAATTATCTCATTCAAATTTACTAGCACGACAAACCGAACTACAGCACTGAGTGTGCATGAACGGTAAACGGGTCGCAAGCTAAATGGTTGTGAAATATTTTAGATTTATTGTTTTAATGGAAGAAGAAAGAGTTATATCAGTTTATTTTCAGTTTTTACAACCATCAACCATGCACTTTCGTGCTCTAGTTTTGGTTGCTGTCTCCTGACTGCCCATTTGGATGAAGGAGTGAAAGGAAGATTAAATTATTAAATCGGCGTCACAGTGAAAGAGAATTCATGAAGGCTAAGTTGGTAGCTATCGTGAGTAGATGCACGAGCACCACTGTTTGCGACACAGCTATATTATTCGGTGTCTCCAGCCATCGGCTACGCTGATCCCAAGGTCCCCATCCATCCACTCTGACGTGACCTGTATGAGCAAGTCTCTTCGTCAGGGCTTTCATACCCTCATACCAGGCCTGATTTTGACCACCCTCAACTTTTTTCCACCCATCACTTGTCTCGGCAAACAGCACGCGCCGTAGCAATCTATTCGGTGACATGCGCAACGCAAGCCTCAACCCAAGCAACCTATGGCAGTCCAGCCCCGCAGCATTGATTGTTAGGTTTCTTCAACAGATTCGTGCAATGTGACGTAGACAGCGGTGTTTGAACACCGAAATTCTATCTTTATCCCGTTTTCGTAACGTCCACGTCTCTGCGCCATATAACAGAACTGACCAAACTGTTGCAGCATACACTTGACCATTTACAGACAAGAGTTCCATAGTCCTACCTCAACAAATATCTTACATTCTTTTTTGGTTGCTTTTTGTACCGCTACCAGTGTGGTACATATTAGTGTTGATTAGCGAAGCAAAGCAACAAGAGCAAACTACGTTTTGCTATTGGCAATAAATGTTTTTTTACTACACACCAGTGTGTGATAAACAGCAGATGGAGCGGACCCCATAGGCACGAAGACCTGGTGTTCAGTGATAGTAACCGGCAACCTAAGCCCTGGGACACTGTGCGATAATATCGAAGGTAAAGAACTATTATTGAGCACTAAAACAGCAAAATCTGAAACTACTTTGAAATTCACAAAAAGCGTCAACTTAAAAAATGTCATCATTTAATCAGAACGGATAGACGGCGTCATCAGCAATGTCGGATTGTATATTCAAGGTGCGAATTCAGTTGAATAATCATGATCGCGAACACTCAATGCTTTGTCTTACCCCCGTGAACGGGAAATTCAGAGCTTGCGTACACTTTTATCACTGTATTAAACTTTCAAAGAGCAGCATTTCTCAGCTCGTAATCACACGTCCTATTACCTACGAGTTTGATGTGACAAACGATAGATCATCCTCACAGGAGACGTGACATTAGGCTAATGTTCTCCTCGATGGCGGAAGACAGATAGGAAACAATCTTTAACTGTTTCAGGCCATCCTTTCAGATGTCCATGAAGGCAGAAGCAACCACTTGGGTAGTATAATGTGAACTCAGAATAGAAGTAAAAAATATGAAAAAGAATTCAATCGCCAATCAATGGTCAAAGACACTGAGTGATATGACTGAGTGTCGTAAACAGTGGCCCTTGTGCATCTACTCATTATCTTTGCAACATTGGTTTACTGGAATTCTCCATTTCCTCTTTGGCATTCATCATCATCATACACATTGTACAGCCTAATACAGTAGAGCGAACTTCACTGATCGCTGCCAAACTCATAATGCATACAAGATAAGTGAGAATGTGTAAGGAGGACAGGGATTGGGCCTATTTTTAGGAACGGGGAAAGAAAGCGAGCCTCTATGGTCAACATACAGAGTACACAGCCCAAATATGCATACATACTAGTTCAAGCATTCTGGACTGATAAGAAGTGACAGCATGATCGCCATTGCTGTCGGTTCGCAGCCGTGACCTTCAGTGTCTCCAACCATGCGGTCTTGGAGTCTTTTGGACCCCAACCCGGAAGACGAGAGACACCTACTCTACCTAATTGCTCTGTGCATTTCTTCATGCCTCGTCTCCACGTGGCTTTCTCCAGCCATGGCAAACAGGGTGCGCTGCGGTAGGCGACCGTCGGACATACGCAAAACGACGACTTAATTCTAAGTTACTAACCCGCTAACTCCATCCCACTTGGACCAGACTACGTAAGCATCCATTATCGAACACTGTTAAAAAAGGGGTGTCTTCTTCCAGTCAATTCAAGGTCTCACAACCGTAAAGCAGAACTGATCGTAGTGACGCAGTATGAGCAACTTTTACACTTTGGTGACACGTCACGTCGCCGCCACAGGTGTTTTAGTCTTGCGTACGCTGCTCGAACCTTGGAAAGGCGGACGGTTATCTCCTTCAATGCGCTACCGTCGTTGGTCACGCAGCTACCTAAGTACGAGAAGCAATCGCCTTCAGCTAATTTCTGACCGTCTAGTTTCAGAACAGAACTCGGTGACACCCAGTCTTGTAGCATCACTTTGCACTTTGAAGATGAAAAGTACATGCCGAAGGGAGCAATAGAACTTGCTAATCTGTCAAGAGCTCTTTGTGCATCCTCCATACATTCGAACAAGTAAACGATGTCGTCAGCGTACTCCAAATTGTACAGCTTTTCTCCAGTTGCCCATTCAATACCTACATTTTGGAGACCACTTAGTGTATTCTCCAGTATTTCATTTATGACGAAAATGGCGAAACAAGGCACCCTTGAGGAACACCGCTGCCAGTTACG